ACTTCCTAATAGAGAAATATCTGTTATTTAAATAATCTAGAATAAAAATGTAATTAACAGTGGTGTGATGCACCATAAACAGAAACAATAAAATGAATTTCAGTTAAAAACATCTACATATTCAGTGGTGACTGAAAGTTCCTTCAGAATTTTCCAATTTCTTTGCAAAATCTGACCTTTATTATCATAATCACATTTTCAAAAGTCCTAAAAGTGGATAAAGAGACAAACATGTTACATCTGCTCATTATTTATTAAAGAAAATGATCAAATTTTACACATCCAGGTCGCAAAAGTGTGTGAATCTCCAGGATTTGCACATAATGTGAAGGTGAAACTAGACTCAGGTGTTTTCAGTGGACGCAACGACAGTCAGGCGTGAGTGAGTGAAATGTTTTCTATAAAGAACAGAACTCTGACAGTCTGATCTACAAAACACGGCTGTGAAAGTGTCATGACAGAAACAGGCCGGAAACTGTTGCATTATGAGCAGTGAAAGTAGCAGGAAAGGACCCACAGTTGGTTTATTTAATGTCTGATTTTAGACATCTGATGACCAGCAGCTGCTCGTTCTTGAATGAGCTGCAAACTGGATCCACAAAAACTTAATGAGATAGTCAGAGTTGACAGAAAATGAGAGGTGAGAGAGCAAAGCTGATTTGAGCATCCAACTCTGAAGTACTGACACTGTACAATCCTGGAATAAATAAGATTCTGGACTTGGATATACAACTATTTTAAGTCTTTGTTTTCACATTCTCAGCTGTCTCTGTGCCCTAATTAGCTCTAAAATAATTATGGTAATTCCTATAAGCAGCATTGCATAACAGACCAACTATTGTCGAATAAGCAACCTAAACACACGTCACGTGGAAACTTTAAACCTCCAGAGATTCTAAACAAACTCTTCAGTAAAGTAGGAAACATCTCATATCAACCATTATTGTTAGATTTTTTTTTTCTTCTCTTAAATATTTGGAAAAATGTCATCTGCCGATTTTAAAATGTAACTGATTTGATGCAAATTTATATTGAAAGAGTATTTTCTAGATGTGTTTATACTTATGTGGAAGACACCTTTAATTATTTGTCCTGTGCTTCAGGTGAATCGCTGTCAAAACCATTATTAACACCTATAAAATGAAAATGTTTGGAATCACATTTTAAGTCTAAATGTTGACAAAGACTCACCAAAAGCAAAGCAAAGCATAACAGAGACAGAATAAACATACTTTATTGATCCAAGGGGGAATTTTGTTGTTACAGTAGCAGGCAGAAAGAATAAAGTGACCGTCATGATACAAACAAATAAGGAAAAATAAAAATAAACTAAAATGAAAAATGCACCATAAAGTGTCAAATGCTAACAATAAAAATAAACAGTAAATGAGGAAATTAAAGGAGTGCAACGTGCAAATAATGCGATGGCAGCAGAAAAACAGATGATCTGACCGGCTTCATTTGAACTTTAACAAGAAAAATGAAAATGCGTCACCAGGTGGCGCTAGAAGACCACCCAACACCTTCACCATCCTCACACAGCTGAAGTCTGCAGACCACAGAGTGTCATGACTCATGCAGCCAATCAGTCATAAATAATTAGTTCTGAGCCATAATTATTCATCCCAGCCAGTGTCCTCGGAGTGCTGAGGAGACGTGAAGCTCTATCTGAGTACAAATCCATGAAATCTGAATTATTTTTTTTTTCTCCCATGGGCAAATGACAGATTATCTGCATGGCTGCTTTCACTGTGCAAACGTTATTATGTGCAATTAGAGTAAAAATCAATGACATGATCGCGCGGCGGGGGTTACGAGGAGACAGAGCGACCGGCAGTTTTTTTCTGAGCCGGGAAAAGAAATCCAAGAGCATTAAAAAAAAAAGATATGAGGAAACGAGTCACTTTTCCCGTTTCTAAGAGTCTCCTCAGGTGATCAGGACGAGTTGAAGCAGCTTTTTATGTGATAAAAACTCTAATGTTGAGGTAATAATGGACACTTTCCCCCCACAGCAAACTGCAGCACAATAAAAGAAGAACTGTTGCAGTTTAAATGGACTCGATGAAGTTCTGATGAATATTCAGACGCACCTGATGTGTGGTTCTGCTGCTGTGTGCACGGAGAGGGAATGAAGCAGCAGAGCCTCTGTGTTTAAAATCACTGCTCTTGTTGCTGCTATGATGAAGCGAAACGAAGCAGCAGGTGATTTAAAAGAAGGAAAACATCACAGCAGAGGATGAGCGTTGGCAGGTGTGTAGATAGGTTTAGATTTAGTCGGTGTTTTGTGTTTCTTTTGGTTGTTTTGTAGATTTGTGGTCGTTCAGGCTTGTTTTTGTCGTTTTCCATCCTCCGTGGCCGTGATCCCTCGCTTTGTTTTACATCACTTGTGGTGATTTTGTTGTTGTGTTGCATTGCTCGTGATAACTTGTGATGTCTTTGTGGTAGTTCTGTATTACTTGTGGTCATTTGGGGTCACTTTCTCTTGTCATTTTGCTTCACTTGTGGTCATCTTAGATCCCTTTTGTTGTGTTTTTTGCATCTTCTGTACTCCTTTTAGATCTCTTTGTTGTCTCATTGTGTCGCTTGTCATAACTTGTACTTTCTTTCTTGTTGTGTTGCATCGATTCTGATCATTTTGGATCTCTTTGTTGTCTTTTTGCATCACTTGTCGTCATTTTCTGTTGCAGAACAACAACAGAACAGTCAAATAAGCACATTTTTTAGTGTATGTTCAACAAAATGCAACATCAGCTCCACTTCCTCTTAATACACTAGAAAAGCTGTGTTTAGATAAATAAGCTCCCTCACTGGTTGGTACGTACAAGTTTTCCACTAGATTTTTATATTGTAGATTTATACATCTCCTACTGTACTTATAAAAATGTCTGGTTGTGTGAATGCACTGACAGGACTGCTGCTTGATTTTGTTTGACACTAAACCACGACAATAAAGGGACGTTATCATTCTACTTGTGCTCATTTTGGATCATTCTGCCATCAATCAGCAACGCTTGTGGTCATTTCTAATCTCTTTTTTTTTGTCATTTCTCTCTCTTTGAGGTCATGCTGCCACAATTACTTTCAGAAATAAAAAGCACAGTTTTTGCTGCATCGCAATTAGCAGAGTCACAGGAAGTGTTTCTGTATTTGAAGGTAACACATCTACTGCCAGACTTTCCTTCTGAAAGTTTCGCCGCTGCACCGTTTATTTCACCTGATTTTCATGATCTAACCAGTAGGCGGCACCAGAGGTTTGATCTGTGAGATGAGTTTGTCGTTCGTGTAACTTTGAGTTCTGCAGTCTGGAAGAAGTTCTTTAAAAACTTGAGATCTTGATGTGATTTTACTGCAGCAGACGTCGGTGCTCTTCCATCAAAATGCTTCACTTAAAGGCCTGAAAGGGTTGACATTAAAATATAGTGAAGAATCCAGAGTAGGAACATCAGTTTGTTAGGACAGAAGGTCGTATTTTTTGTTTAAGGTGGTCGGTGTCCTCGGGCTGCTAAAGCTGGATATAAAGTAAGAATTCTGGACATCATGCATCAAGTATTTACCTCAACAGTCTGACTTGAGCCTTTTTAAATCACTACATAGAGCCAATAATGAACTTTAATGTCAGAAAAAGAATGTTTGCATCGACAAATGCTTTAAAGTCCTGAGATAAACCTCATGTATGTTCATGTTTTATTGGATGGAACACATCTGCTACAGATAATAACATTTATGATTTGAGCATTAGCTCCTTCTTCAGTCATTCTGAATGAGAACAAACTGATGTTAAAGGCTTTTTGTTTGTTTTTAACAAATACAGACTCAGTTTATTCTCAGTTTACCAGCAGCTCTTTTAATGCTCCTTCATGTCCAGCATTAACGCTTCCACACACGATTGTTTTCACCTTTGTGTCCTGATCATGTTTCTTCTCTGGTTTTTTTGAAGGACTAAACAAACTGACGTCTTCTTCACTCGCCTGCAGCTGCTGAAAACACCTTTTCTATCGCATGTGGTGCATTATG